TATCTATGACTTGATGTATGTGTGGATGTGGTGTATAAAATTGGCTATTATAATGTTTATGGAAACTTTCTGCGTTATTCGTCGTTAAACGTGTTGCGCAAACGAGTGATYTATTTTCAGGTAAACGACTGATTTCGTCGTGCGCAAGCGAGTCGTCGATTTTCAGGTAAAAAATTTTGAATGTGCGCAAACGAATTGCAGCGATATTACATATGTACCTACACCCTAAGGCAGCGGCCCTCGCTAGGATTTTAGAAAGGGTCAAATGTAATTTTTGAAAATTACTTGCGGGCCTCATATATTTTTAATGATGATAGTTAAAAGTAAAAAATTACAACTGTTTACTATAAATTTAGCGGAGAATAGTAAAAAGAGTATGGCTCTTCCGTCAAAAAAGGTTGCCGACCACTGGTATAGCATATAGTATAGGGCAGAGGTTCCAATACTTTTTACGGTACGACCCATTTTGGAAAATATTCAAATGTTGACGACCCACAACACCTCCTAATAGTCCTAATGGCATTTTTTATATTATTATTATTGATAATCGCCAACTATATTGAGATAACTTTTAATCCTGCAGCGTAATGGTAATCGTCGAAGATTATGATAAATATGATAAAACTAAATTCAAACATCAATGTATACATTCTATAAGATTTAGTCAGGTACATGGAAAATACTGTATCATATTAATTTTAATTTATCCATTTTATTATAGAATGCCTWTTATTTTTATTTTTTTATATTCTCGAATAATCTAATATTAAATATTTAACATTATTGAAATATATAAATATTCAAAAACTTAGTATGACCCACCAAAAATATAAACGCGACCCACAATTTGGGAACCTCTTGTATAGAGAATAAAATAAATATCTCAACATCCGATATTATAAACTCATAATAGTCTAAGGAAAAATCATCAACTTATGGCAAAATTAATAGAAAATACCCAATACCAAATTAAATGAAATAAAAACTATGCATCCTTCCATGGTCTGTCATCACATTTATAGGAAAGAAGAAGTAATAGTGACCTCAAACAGGCTCGGAATAGGTCATACCAGATTAATGCGTGTTTCTTTGATGAAGAAAGAAGTCGCCCAGGCCTTTAGCTACAGGGGTGGAAAAGCAAGAGGGGGCGCTGCCCTCCCTAAAACCAACTGTCRCCACCTCAAAAAATTTAAAAATTTAAAAATTAATATTCTTTTTATTTATAATGTCCCCTCTAAAATTTGGTCTGTATACGGGCCTGGTTCTGTCCATATATCCAACCTATAACTATCCTTTGACAATCAAACACATCTTAACTGAATGCAGGAAGTATAATCTTACCTACTATCATCTAGCCAAAAGCCATCTAAACGCCAGTATTATATCATTGGACAATGTTCTCAGATTCCACAGATGAGATGCAGAATTTAATAGTAAAATATAAAAATGTGTCCATTAAATGTATTTGAAAATGTATAATGTATTAACCCATTATGGATTACTATATTAATTTTATACATATTCTCTTGTCTATGTTATATAGTTATAAGTTTCTACTTAGTGTGTCCCTAAATTAATAATTATCTARAATTTATTGTAGCTAATGGCGGCCCCAGTCGCCGAGACAATTGTTATACCAATAAAAATAAATATCGGGATTGATGCGGTGAGAAGCAATGGTAAGAATTCCTAAGTTCGAGTGAATAGTTGAGTAGTGCTGGAGGCAGAGAGCTTAG